CCCCAAAACCCCAAAACCCCAAAACCCCGGGAATCATAATACTGGGTAAATCACAAGCATTAAGAATTTTGTAATAATTTAGTATAATAATGGAGTTAAAGCTAAATGTAAACTTTTATATTATTCATGAACTTTATCCCTAACTTAATTTTAGAGATAGCCTTCAATAAATATCTAAATAGATCCAGAATCACCAACTACTAAAGAAGCCATTGGAAGATTAGGAATCGATCCTAATGAACTCCTTAAAAAGTAAGATATAAAATAAACATGATAAAAGTTCATAACTTATTGAAATAAAATGATATAGACATAAGAATGAATTCGCTCTTGATTGTGAGAACGCTAAAGTCTTAGATTTCAGATATAAAAACTATCTGACGAGATACCATACTTTGCTGAAAAAGCTGGAAGATGAAAAGTAGGCAATAAGGCTAAGAGGGAATAATGGTAGCGTTATGAGTAGATTAAACAGCAGATATAACGTAAGCTTGCCACTCATGAGCTCTAATTCAGTAAGAAACCTGAGGCGCTTAGATGAGTCATCGATATCTAGGGGCGGACTAGGCGTAGCCTTAAGCAACTAGAGGTACAGTGTATTAAGTAATATCCCAAATCAAAGTAGTTTGGCTTTATCTCTTCCTAGAATTGGCAAGTAAGTTATATTATCATTACAGCTTTTTTCCTAATATTATTGAATTTGGTTCTGTAACTTAAAATTAATATTATTTTTTAGAAATATTGAAACAAGTGCTTAGTCACCAAGTGTATTAAGTTCAGGTAGAGGTGATAAATCCAATAAAAGTACTGTGTTTTCTTCTGATATTTATGCTAAGATCTCTTAAGAATATGAAAAGATGACTGAGTCTAAGGTTAAATCCCAGATTGATCTAAAAAATCATCTGCTTTAGTAACTGAAGAATGAGCAATACATGCAAAAACTAGAGTAAAAACTGAAACGAATTGAGGAATATGAAAAAGAAGAACTTGAAGAGATTTAGTATAAAAAATAAATGAGAGAATAAGCTAGAAAAAATAAGCTTCAAAGAGTTAAGAGTGAGATGGAGCGAAATGTAGAGGAAAGCGAGCTTATGGCCTAGAAATATAATGAGGAGAGACTTAAAAGAGTTAAGGAGTAAAAGGAAAGATAATTATAAATAGCTTAATAAGAGAAGGAGAAGTTTGATAAGGAACTTGAAATTAAGTAGAATATTTAAAGGAAAAAGCATGAATTAGAGAAGCAAGAAGAGGAACAATGCTTGAATAGACTAAAGGAACTTGATCAAAAGATCAATTAGAAGAATAACACTTTTTTACAAAGATAACAAGAAAAATAGTCTCATCTCAAATCTTAAAGCTTGATAGTCCAAATGAAAAATGACATGGCTAGGAAATAATTTGAAGAATAGAAGGAGAAAAAGCAAGAACGAGTGATTAAAAAGATTTAGTAGACTGAGAAGTAAATAAACCAAAGATTAGAGGAAAGAGATGAAATGATTAAGTATCGCACTCATTAAGAAGAGTAGAAAGGAGACCGAGCCTATCAAAATCATTTGGAGGCAATGAGATAGGATCAGGAATACAGAAGAATGACCGAGGATAAGATTAATAGAAAAATAGCAAGAGCCAGACTCGGGAACTCTATGACAGCACCAAAACTGCTTTCAGATCTAGTGATGAACAACGGCCACTCTTAGTATGAAGTAGCAGATGACATTATGCTTAAGTATGAGAGTAAAAAACTTAAAGAACATAATTTCTAAGAGAACTACCGAAGAGAGCAGAAGAAGCAGCAGCTTAAAAAGCAATAAATACTTGAAAAAGAGTATGCGTACAGTTAGAAGGTACAGCTGGCTAAGATTGAAAGGCAAATGATAGAGAAGTGCAAGGTGCAAACACAAAATGCAGCAATCAAGAGCAAAGAGGATAAGAACCAGTTTATTCAAAGACTTAAGGCTTACTCAGTAATAGATAAAAATCAGAAGAAAAAAGCATAGAAAATAGCTTTGCAATTAGCGACGGATATTGATTTAGGTGAAGTATTTGCTGATAAGAAAAAAGATGAAAATGGATTAGGTGGAAACGTATGAAAACATTGAGAATGTTTAGATCTATTATAAATATATAAGTCGGATATGCATAAGTTGGAGTTATTAGTTCAAATAGCTATCTCTACTGATTTAATATTTAACTTTTAATAAGTTTAGCAATGAAGATATAAATATTAATAATTATTTGTATTAATAATAATCATATTAATAACATTAAACTAATTTGATAATTTATTATAGCAATTGAATTCAATTAATAATCATAATTATAATAAACAAAGATGTGTTGTGTCCCACTCTTGTGTTGCGCTGGAGCAGCCATTTGCTGTGCAGGCCGAGCTTGCTGTGGATGTCTCTGTGCCCCTTGCAGTAAAATGGGAGTACATTCCAAGAATTTCGCTAAGATTGGCTACGTGATATTCCAATTCTTCTGGATTTTCGTTTCGATCGCTTTGCTCTTTTCTGCCAAGAAACTGGTCGATATTCTACCTCATTTCCTCTAGTGTCCTGACCAATCAGGAGACGACTCTGCTTGCATGGGACCCTCTGCAATTATCAGAATGAGTTTTGTGTTGATGTGCTTCCATGTGTTGGTTCTTTGTATCATTGTGACTAGAAACCAATGCGCCTCTATCTTCCACGATGGGTGCTGGGGCATGAAATTCATTTCAGTTCTGATCTTTTTCATCATCACTATGTGGATACCAAACTCATTTTTCGAAGGCTACACACAATTCGCCCGTATAGTCTCAATCATATTCCTAATGCTTCAGGCACTTATCATGCTGGTAGTAGCATATAAAATTAACGAGGTGCTAGTGGGCAACTACGAGAGAGAAAACACTTCTGGACTTGGTTGCTCAGGTGTTATTATCATTGTACTTACTGCAATCATTACTGCAGGAGATATCACATGGGCTATTTTCTAATACATTTGGTATCATGGCTGTGGATACAACAACGTGATCATCACTATCACCTTAGTAGCAAGCATCTCATTCTTTGTGCTGGTGTTCTTCAGAACCCGCGAAGATGCAAGCATTCTTACCTCCTCAATTGTGGTATCTTACTTGCTCTATCTCTAATGGTCAGCTTTAGCTTCCAATCCAAATGAGGAATGCAATCCATTCTAGGAATCAGCAGTCAACACAACCATGCAGATCATAGTAGGACTCATCTTTACATTCTTCTCGCTGATCATTATCTCATCCTCGACAAAGAAATCCGATGCAACTAACCTCACCACCTAGATGAACCAACCCTTAATTGAGGATGAAGAGGACAATCACGAGAGAGTTGATCCAGTTGTTAAAAAAGATGGCACTTAGTTAAATCATGAGGACTTGCATGCCTTCCCAATCTCCTCTCAAACTATATTCTTCCAAGCTCTCCTAGTCTTGGCTTCAATATACTATGCCATGCTGCTTACTAACTGGGGAAATCCCACTCTGTTCGAAGATACCATAGACTTCTATGAATCCAACTACACTAGTTTCTGGATTAAGTTAGTAGCCTAATGGATCTCAATGGCTATATATCTGTTCTCAATGATTGCTCCAGTCATCTTTAGGAACAGAGAATTCTGAAACAATTTCTAAAGCTTGATCAATAATCTAAATAAACTATTCTAATATAATAATTGCTATGATGGAAATTGATATTATCTGAATTTTTATGTTTATTTTAGATATTGATTTTCGGGGTTTTGGGGTTTTGGGGTTTTGGGG